GCAGGAGCGGGGGGCTCGGGACACAGCGCAGAGAGGGGACTTGGTGCCCTGAGCAGCTCCAGGAGGGGCTTCAACTGAAAACCAGCGAGCGTCCCAGTGAGGGAGCGCCGCAGGGCCCGGGCAGAGGCAGCCTGGCAGGAGGGTGAGGGCAGCTGCCTCGGGAACCAGGGGCTGTGGGCAGCCCAGCACCAGAGGGACAGGGCTATGCAGGCAGCTACCTTGGCGACGATGAACTCTGCATCCTCCGGACTGTCCAGCTGCAGCTTCTGGGCAATATCGGCCAGGGAGATGCGAGAATAGGAGAGGCTGATCATACGGACACCTGCGGGGCAGGAACGAGAGTGCAGCCCCAAGCCCACGGCACCGGTCACGATGTGTCCCCCGAACGTCACAGCGGCAGCGTCCTACCTGTCTTGATGACGTTGTGCCTCAGACGAATGATCAGGGTGTAGGTGCCATCGGCCTGGAACTTGTCCCCAAACTGATCGAGGACTTGGTTGAACTTGGCCAGGTTCCCGGTCCTGACGGCTGGAGGAGAGAATGTGTTAACGGGGGAAGCGGGGCCCGGAGGTGGTGGGGAAGGTGAGGCAGGGCTGACTCCCAGACCTGCCATCCCCTCCTCTTAGGAGCTGTCTCCTCCTCCCCAGGTGGAGTCTGCAGCTGGGTCCCATCCAGGGCAGGGGAGAGGAACCCCCACTGCTCCCCCACCCAGGGCCTCCCGCTCCCTCGGGAATGGTGTTGTGCTGGGACACCGGAGAGGGACCGAGCGTGGGCAGGAGTGGCCTGTCGTACCCTGAGTCAGGAGGAAGTAGGGCATGAGCGACCGCTTGAGGGAAGGCTGTCTGAACTGGAGCCTGTCCGGGATCTCCCCGAGCAGCAGTTCCACCACGATGAGCAGCTTGTGCACCTTGAGCAGAAAAAGACCGTGAGGCCCCGCGGGGCTCAACCCCGAGGCAGCTTCCCCAGGAGCCGGATGCCACGAGTGCTCCCAGCCCCACTCACTGTCTGCTTGAAGCCAACGGCCGTGTGCTGCGGAGCCTTCCGCAGGGCGTTCGTCATGGTCCTCCGCGCCTCCGAGTACTCCAGCTGGATGGCCTTGATGCGCCCTGCGTTCGCACGGGGCAGAAGGCATTTGGAAAAGCCACCAAATTAATCCAACCAGATTAGATCCACCCAGACAGAGCTCCAAATCCTGCCTGGAAGCCCCAACCCCAGCTGTTCGAGTGGTTTCTCTGGAGAACCAGAGCCCTCGATCCTGGGTGCCACGCGGGACCCTCTGCGTCTCACCTGTGTAATAGAGGTACCGAGCCCACTCGTTATTGTTGGCCTGTTCAGGAAACACGGACTTGGAGACGAGCTTTTCCGCTTGGTCATAGAGGTTGTAGTGGAGATAGTTCCTCAGCAGCAGGTTCAGGAGGGTGGCCTGCCCGTCCGCGTCGTGGCGCAGCGTGGCTGTCCGTAGCCGGGCGTGCAGGAAGCTGCAGAAAGGGGGAGAGAGTGTCAGGGAGGAGGAAGAAACCAGCCCTTCATGCCAGGGCACACAGGACCAAGCTCCAGGAGAGCCTGCACACAGGATCCACCCCACCTCCTGACCACGTCGAGCTTATTCAGGAATTCGTAGATGCGGGAGTGGTAGTAATAACATTTTGCCACCACCAGGTCAAGGGCCCGGCGGTTTTGGGAACTGATCTTCTGCATCAGGTCATCGGACACTTTCTGAGCCTGCAGGAGGGGAAAAGAAGCCAGAGCAAAGATACTGAGCCTGGGGGCTGCCTCCAAACACAGCCGAAACAACGGGGAAAGCGAGGGGCCACAGCCAGGCAGGTCCCGGAGGCTCTCCAGACCCTGCCTGGTGCAGGAGCGCCACAGGAAGAGCTCAGCTCCTGGCCAGCAGCTCAGGGAAGCTCACCTCCGGGTACCGCTTGCTGTTCATCAGGTAGATGACGAGAAGCAGCTGGAGGTAGGTCTCCACTTCTGGCAAGAGAGGGGCTGAGGCCGCCTTCCCAGTCCGTGGGCGAAACTGCAGCTCTGCTTCCGTGTCCATGGACTGCGGGGAGAGGGACCTGCTGGGACCTACGGCCCTCCCGCGCCGCTGCTGCCC